ACTGGTGGTAGTGTAGGGGTACTGGTGGTAGTGTAGGGGTTCTGGTGGTAGTGGGAGGGGTATGGGGGGTAGTGTAGGGGGTATTGGTTGGTAGTGTAGGGGTACTGGTTGGTAGTTGTTTTGGGTACTGGTTTGGGAGTGTGGGGTATTGGTGGTAGTGTTAGGGTACTGGTGGTAGTGTAGGGTATGGTGGTAGTGTAGGGGTAATGGTGGTAGTGTAGGGGTACTTTTTGGGAGTGTAGGGTATTTGGGTGGTAGTGTAGGGGTACTGGTGGTAGTGTAGGGGTATTTGGGGGTAGGTTTGGGGGTTTCTGGGGTAGTGTAGGGGTTTGGTGGTAGTTTAGGGGTACTTGTAGTGAGGATGGTGGTAGTGTAGGGTACTGGTGTAGAGTTGGGGTACTGGTGGTAGTGTAGGGGTCTGGTGGTAGTGTAGGGATATTGGTGGTGTGTAGGGTATGGTGGTAGTGTAGGGGTTTCTGGTGGTAGTGTAGGGGGATGGTGGTAGTTGTAGGGTAATTTTGGGGGAGTGTGGGGTACTGTGGTAGTGTAGGGTATGGTGGGAGTGTAGGGGTACGGTGAGTGTAGGGGTACTTGGTAGTTTTAGGGTATTGGTGGTAGTGTAGGGGTACTGGTGGAGTGTAGGGTATTTGGGGGTAGTGTAGGGGGGATGGTGGTAGTGTAGGGGGACTGGTGGTAGTTTAGGGGTTTTTGGTGGTAGTGTTGGGACTGTGGTGTGTTGGGGTACTGGGGTGGTTAGTGTAGGGGTATTGGGTTTGGGAGTGTAGGGTACTGGTGGTAGTGTAGGGGAGGTGTGTGTGGGTACTGTTTGGGAGTGAGGGGATTTGGGGGTAGTGTAGGGGTACGGTGGTTGTGTGGGGTACTTTGGGAGTGTAGGGTACTGGTGGTAGTGTAGGGGGTACTGGTTTTGGTTTGTGTAGGGGTAACTGGTGTAGTGTAGGGGTACTGGTTGGGAGTGTAGGGGTACTGGGGTAGTTAGGGTATGGTGGTATGTAGGGTATGGTGGTAGTGTGGGGTACTTTGGGGGTAGGTAGGGGGATGGTGGTAGTTTTAGGGGTGCTTGGTTTGGGAGGTAGAGGTATTTGGTGGTAGTGTGGGTATGGTGGTAGTGTAGGGTATGGTGGGGAGTGTAGGGGTACTGGTGGTAGTGTAGGGTACTTGGGGGTAGTGTTGGGGGAATGGTGTTTAGGGTATGGTGGTAGTGTAGGGGTATGTGGTAGTGAGGGGTATGGTGGGGTGTAGGGGTAGGTGGTGTGTAGGGGACTGGTGGTAGGTAGGGGGGCTGTGTGGTTGTGGGGTCTGGTTGGGAGTTGTACGGGTACTGGTGGTAATGGTAGGGGTACTGGGTAGTGTAGGGGTATGGTGGGAGTGTAGGGGTACTGGTGGTAGTGTTGGGGGGTTGGTGGTAGTGTAGGGGTACTGGTGGTAGTGTAGGGGTATTGGGTTGTAGGGGTATGGGGTTAGTGTGGGTATTGGTGGTAGTGTAGGGGTACTGGTGGTAGTGTGGAGTATTGGTGGTAGTGTAGGGGTACTGGTGGTAGTGTAGGGGTATTTGGTGGTAGTGTAGGGGTACTGGTGGTAGTGTAGGGGGACGGTGGTAGTGTAGGGGTACTGTTGGTATGTAGGGGTACTGGGGGGTAGTGTAGGGGTACTGGTGGTAGTGTGGGTTACTGGTGGTAGGTAGGAGTACTGGTGTAGTGTAGGGTATGGTGGTAGTGGGGGGGAGGGGGACTGGTTGGGGTGTAGGGGTATTGGGGGTAGTGTAGGGGTATGGTGGTATGTTGGGGTAATGGTGGTAGTGTAGGGGTATGGTGGGAGTGTAGGGTCTTGGTGGTAGGTAGGGGTATGGGTGGTTGGTAGGGTTGGTGGGAGTGTAGGGGTACTGGTGGTAGTGTTGATATGGTAGTGTAGGGGTATTGGTGGGAGTGTAGGGGTACTGGTGGTAGTGTTGGGGTACTGGTGGTAGTGTAGGGGTACAGGTGGTAGTGTAGGAGGTAATTGGTGGTACTGTAGGGGGTACTGGTGGTAGTGTAGGGGTATGGTGGTAGTGTGGGGTACTGGTGTAGTGTAGGGTATGGTGGGAGTGTAGGGTAATGGGGGAGTGTAGGGGTACTGGTGGTAGTGTAGGGGTACTGGTTGTAGTGTAGGGGTTTCTGGTTGGGAGTGTAGGGGTAAATGTGGTAAATGTAGGGGTATTTGGGGGTAGTGTAGGGGTACTGGTGGTAGTGTAGGGGAATTTGGGGGTAGTGTAGGGGTACTGGTGGTAGTGTAATTGGGGTACTGGTGGTAGTGTTGGGGTCTGGTGGGAGTGTAGGGTCTGGTGGTAGTGTAGGGGGACTGGGTGGAGTTGTTAGGGTAGGTGGTAGTGTAGGGGTATTGGTGGGAGTGTAGGGGTACTGGTGGTAGTGTAGGGGTACTGGTGGTTAGGTGTTAGGGGTACTGGTGGTTGGGTAGGGGTACTGGTGGTAATTAGGGTACTGGGGGTAGTGTAGGGGTATGGTGGTATGTAGGGTACTTGGTGGTAGTGTAGGGGTACTGGTGGTAGTGTAGGGGTTTCCGTGTTAGTGTAGGGGTATGGTGGTAGTGTAGGGGTACTGGGGGTAGTGTAGGGTACTGTGTAGTGTAGGGTACTGGTGGTAGTGTAGGGGTACGGTGGTAGTGAAGGGGTCTGTGGTAGAGTTGGGGTACTGGTGGTAGTGTAGGGGTACTGGTGGTAGTGTAGGAGGTATGGGGGTACTGTGGGGTACTGGTGGTAGTGTAGGGGTACTGGTGGTAGTGTTGGGGTCTGGTGTAGTGTAAAAGGGGGCTGGGGGTAGTGTAGGGGATGGGGGCGTGTAGGGTCTGGTGGTAGTGTAGGGGTTTCTGGTTGTAGTGTAGGGTACTGGTTGGTAGTGTAGGGGTATGTGGTAGTGTGTAGGGGTATGGTGGTAGTGTAGGGGTACTGGTGGTAGTGTAGGGGTATTGGTGTGTAGGGGTACTGGTTGGGAGTGTAGGGTACTGGTGGTAGTGTTGGGGGGCTGGTGGTAGTGTAGGGGTCTAGTGGTAGTGTAGGGGTACTGGTGGTAGTTAGGGGTACTGGTGGTGTGTAGGGGTATTGGTGGTAGTGTAGGGGTACTGGTGGTAGTGTAGGGTACTGGTGGGAGTGTAGGGGTACTGGTGGTAGGTTTGGGGTACTGGTGGTATGTAGGGTATGGTGGTAGTGTAGGCGTACTGGTGGTAGTGTAGGGGTATGGTGGTAGTTTTAGGGGTACTGGTGGGGGTGTAGGGGTACGGTGTAGTGTAGGGGTACTGGTTTGGGAGTGTAGGGGGGATGGTTGGAGTGTAGGGTACTTGTGGTAGTGTAGGGGTACTGGTGGTAGTGTAGGGGTACTGGTGGTAGTGTAGGGGTTACTGGGGGTAGTGTAGGGTACTGGTGGTAGTGTAGGGGTACTGGTGGTAGTGTAGGGGTATGGTGTTAGTGTTGGTACTGGTGGTAGTGTAGGGTATTTGGTGGAAGGAAGGGTATTTGGGGGTAATGTAGGGTACTGTGGTAAAGTAGGGTACTGGTGGTATGTAGGGGTTATTGGTGGTAGTGTAGGGGTATGGTGGGAAGTGTAGGAGGGACTGGTGGTAGTTTTAGGGGACTGGGTGGTAGTGAGGGTATGGTGGTGTGTAGGGGTACTGGTGGTATGTAGGGGTACTGGTGGTATGTAGGGGTTTCTGGTGGTTGTGTAGGGGTACTGGTGGTTTGTGTAGGGGTACTGGTGGTAGTGTAGGGGTAGGTAAGTGTAAAGGGGATGGTGGAGTAGGTCTGGTGGTAGTAGGGGTACTGGTGGTAATGTAGGGTACTGGTGGTAGTGTAGGAGTACTGGTGGTAGTGTAGGCGTACTGGTGGTAGTGTAGGGGTATGGTGGTAAGTAAGGGGCTGGTGGTAAATAGGGTCTGTGGAATGTAGGGTACTGGTGGTAGTGAGGGGTATTATGAAGGGTATTGTTTGGGAGGTAGGGGTATGGTGGTAGTGTAGGGTATTTGGGGGTAGTGTAGGGGGTTTGGTGGTATGTAGGGGTACTGTGGTAATGTAGGAGTACTGTGGTAATTTTTGGGGTATTGGTGGTGTGTAGGGGTATTGGTGGTATGTAGGGTATGGTGGTTGTAGGGGTATGGTGGTAATGTAGGGTATTGGGGGGTAGTTTTAGGGGTATGTGGTAGTGTAGGTATGGTGGTAGTGTAGGGGTACTGTGATCAGTGTAGGGTATGGTGGGGTGTAAAAGGGTACTGTGGTAGTGTATGGGTATGGTGGTAGTGTAGGAGTATTGGTGGAAGTGTAAGGTTTGGGGTATTGTAGGGGTACTGGTGGTAAAGTAGGGGTATGTGGTAATTTAGGGGTATTGGTGGTGTGTAGGGTTTTGGTGGTGTGTAGGGATACTGGTGTAGTGTAGGGTACTGGTGGTATGTAGGGATACTGGGGGTAGTGCGGGGTACTGGGGGTAGTGTAGGGTTTACTGGTGGTAGTGTAGGGGTACGGGTGGTAGTGTAGAGGTATGGTGGTAATGTAGGGGTACTGGTGGTAATGTAGAGGTACTGGTGGTAATGTAGGGGTGCTGGTGGTAGTGTAGGAGTACTGGTGGTAGTGTAGGAGTACTGGTGGTAGTGTAGTGGTATTATTGGTAGTGTAGGGAGTATTGGTGGTAGTGTGGGGGTTTATTGGTGGTAGTGTTAGGGGTTATTGATGATAGGGTACGGAGTTTTGGTGGTAGAATTGGGTTTTGGGGAATAGAGTAAGGGTACTGATGGTTGTTTCAGGGTATTAGTAGTAGTGTAGGAGTATTAGTGATAGGGCAGGGATATTGGTGATAGTCTAGGTGTATTAGTGGTAGTGTAAGGATATTGGTGGTAGTTTAGTGGTATTGATAGTAGTGTAGGGATATAGGTGGTAGTGTAGTGGTGTTGCTACTAGTGTAGTGGTATCTCTAGCAGTGTAGGGAGGAGGGTAAGTTACTCACCAAAGGCGACATCACGTGCGTCTCCGCCGATCGGTGATGATAGTTGAGAATGAGGACTGTACTGACGACGCTCGAAGCCACCATAAACATGATACAGTTAAAGTACGTGC